TGCTACAACTTTAAAAGAACTACAATGACGTGGGAAAATACCCGAACCAAGCCGAACACCATACATGTAAGTACCCGCGAAAACTTAAGAAAACAAATATATATATATATATATATGGTGTTCGGCTTGGTTCGGGTATTATATAATTCTGCTATCTCCTTGGTGCCTGTAACCTCTTTGCCATATTCTCCCATTAGATCAATTGTTTTCTTGAATTTTTTCTTGTTTCTTACATATTTAAACTTGTAAAAAATACTTTTAGCATTTGTTACAAGTCTTAGTTCACAGCCTTAGCATTCCTGCCTTTGTCATTGCTGATTTAGACATTTTGCTGGTGTTGTTTTATTGCCCCTCTTTCCACTTTTTAATACTTGTCCCCTTTTTCTCAGTTTGTCAGAGATTCTTTATGCTATCTTGCTGGTTTTGTTTGACATCTCCTGTTTTCTTTATCTGTGGTACTATGCTAGATTGAGCTTTTATAATTTCATTTTTCAAATTTTCCCAAGTATCTTTAGTTGTTTTCCCCTTTAGGATTTCCATCCATAGACTCTTCCTAAACTCTTAGGGTTTTTCCCCCCCAAGTTTTATTGGATTTTTATTTTTAAGTATACTTCAATATCAATACATGAACAGTGTAGCCTCTGGGAGTAATTCATTTTGATACAAACAGCATTAATGATAACCATAATAGTTTTTATATTAATCAAACTTATATAATCCTAGTATTAATATACATGGTTTTTTTAGTGTAGTTATTCAATATTTCAATGTTCCATTTTAATGCCAATGATATTATAAGCATACATAGTAATACCATCTTTCAACCTCTGATCTTTTCCATAAATTATTACTTATATTCTGTTATTTTTATATCTGTTAATATTTCCCCTATTTCTTATTTCTACCTCTATTCTAGCTTCTAATCAGGTCACCATTGCTAATCCTAGTATAATATTAGTATTAATATAAACACATGTTTATATTAAGATACAGTCCTTCATTATTTGGTTGTTCAAAGTCACAATACAATACGCGATTCAAGTAGTCTTTCTATTATTTAAGCATACATAATAATATCATCTTTCAACCTCCAATCTTTCCATCTAACTACTGATTCATATAAAGGTGTGTATTCTTATTTCTACCTCTATTCAAATTTCTAATCAGGCCATTATCATATTAGAAAAAAAGAAATATATATATAATAATTCCTTTCTGTCCATCATTGCTAGGGCTAGCTGCCTCAGAAGAGTGAGGAAAATTCTCAGGGATGACTCACACTAGAGGTAGTATTCAGCAGATTCTGACCAGTTCTGGAGAACCGGTAACGGAAATTTTGAGTAGTTCGGAAAACCGGCAAATACCACCTCTGACTGGAGATTTTACAGTATCCTTCCCCTGCCACGCCCACCAAGTCACGCCACAGAACCGGTCGTAAATTTTTTTGAATCCCACCACTGACTCATACCCCAGTCAGCACTTCTTCACTCTCCTACCATCGGGTAGGAGATATAGAAGCATAGCCAGCCGCACCAACAGGCTGAAGAACAGTTTCTACCCGTGGGTAGACTTCTGAACGGAAAATAACTTCATGTCAACATAGTATGATAGACTTGCGGGTTGAGCAACAGGTCACATAGTATAATAAGATTGGGGCTGGGTTAGGGACTTCTGTCCTCATTGTGAGTTGTGTTGGGGTGTGTGCATGAAGGGAAGCTCAGCCAATCTCATTGTACACATGTTGTCTGACAATAAAGGTAATAATAATCTCTTGTCTGTTTTAATACTTCAATTCTTATTCGTTTTTTGGCTTGCCTCCCATACTCCTCTCTTGGATCTTTGTCTCTATCAACATCTGTATCTTCACCATTCAGACTGAATACTTATCCCATCTCTATCTTCCTAGGCTGCCAAGTCTCCAGAGTATCCACCCAAACTCCTATCTCCCTTTCAAAAATATCTTCTAGGTTATCCAATTCCATTTTTAAATCTCTTAAATTACTTTTCCCGTAGTTTATTTCATCAGTCATTGTCTTTATCGTCTTTACTGTCAAACTCTTAATGTTTTGTGTTAATTTTATTTCGGTTTTTCATAAACATGGTAAAAACTAATAGAATGAAACAACAAGAAAAATAAGTTCACAAGAAAAAGAAAAGAAAAAGGCAACAAAGTCAATAATAAAGAAGTGACTTCCAACCCTCATCACACTGAGCATTAGCTAACATAACCTGAATAGTCAAGACCTTGTTGATGATCCAAACTCTGTCAAGGATCTTGGAGTACTCATCTCTAATGATCTAAGTGCTAGAGCCCACTGTAACTAAATAGCCAAAAAGGCGTTAAGAGTTGTTAACCTAATCTTACATAGCTTTTTCTCTGGTAATATTACACTAATAACTAGAGCATGCAAAACATTTGCTAGACCAATACAGCTCATCAGCCTGGAACCCACATTACGTATCTGATATTAACACAGTTGAGAAAGTCCAGAAATATTTCACAAGAAGAGTTCTCCACTCCTCTACTCGTTGCAGAATATCTTATGCCACCAAACTCGAAATTCTAGACCTAGAAAACCTACAACTATGCCGCCTTCGGTCCGATCTAAGTATAGTATATAAAATCATACATTGCAATGTCCTACCTGTCAATGAATACTTCAGCTTCAACCATAACAACACAAGAGCAAACAATAGATACAAACTCAAGGTTAATCTCACCAAACTTGATTGCAGGAAATACAACTTCAGCAACAGAGTGGTCAATGTCTGGAATACTCTACATGACTCTGTGGTTTCTTCCCCAAATCCCCAAAACTTTAACCTTAGACTGTCTACTATTGACCTCACCCCTTTCCTAAGAGGTCTGTGTGCATAAGCGCACCAACGTGCCTACTAGCCCTGTCCTATTGTTTCTTTTATTTTTTATTTTTCTTATATGTATCCATGTATTCATAACTATGTTTTTACTTATACCTATTATCTTGTAAGCAATTGACAAAAATAAATAAATAAAATAAAAAATAAATAAATACATAATTTTTCACTTTCTTTTAAAGTCACAAATAAAAAGTCTAACTTTATCCAAACACAATTCAGAAATTGTCAACTTTTCAGTCCTGGGTTATAAGAAATATTAAACAAATAATTGATCCCTAATAAAATAGTCCAAATTTATGTTCCTTGTTTTTCTAGTTCACAAGTTTTACCTTTAAATCCTTCCAATGGCATCACAGGATTTGAACTTTCATTAATTTTGATCATTCAAGAGAAATCTTTAAAGTTTTTTTCCTTTATTCTATGCCTGTTTTCTAATATTTTGTAACTTTCATAAAAAAGGCATTGTCCAGAATTTCTTGTCATGGCTGTTCCATATACAAATGCTTTTCTTGATTTGTTTCTTTTCTCTCTCTCTCCCTCCCTCTCTCTTGTATTTTTATTGTGATAATCTCAATTTTGTTATCATCCATGCTTTCAAACTCTAAAATGTTTATGTTTAGGTAAAAGATTATCTCAAAACCTTCTAAAGATTTATTAATTGAAATCTGTACCTTTCTGAAATATTAGTTGTTAATATCTTAGCCCAGTTATCAAAAAACTCTTTAAGAAATAAGTTATACCCAGCTTAGCCATTTTAACTTTTTTGTGCCAGTTCTTTAGTTTCCTCTAGTGCCCATTTGTAACCATAATCAAACCTCAGTTCCTAATATGAATTTTAGTTCTGTCTCAGTTGTTTCCCATGAGTATATTATTTAATTTTGTATTTGCTTTTTAAATTTTACAGCAATTTGCAGAGATGTTATATCTTAACATGGATGCCTCAAACTGGAGGATGTTCAGAAGGGAACAATCAAGAATAAGGGACCTGGAAGCAACTCTATGAGTGAGCAATTTTACTCTAAAGAAGAATACAGGCAATCACAAAATAGAAAGACCTGAAAATTGAAATAGAATGTGGCAAAAGAAAGCAAAGCTTTCAAAATAGTGCAGGTTCCTTGTGTGCAATC